CTCTCTCTCTCTCTCTCTCTCTCTCTCTCTCTCTCTCTCTCTCTCTCTCTCTCTCTGTGTGTGTGTCTGTGTGTGTGTGTGTGTGTGTGTGTGTGCACCCCCGTGTACTTGTGTGATGGGTGTATGGCGGTGCCTCTGTACAATTATGGATGTATGCGTGCGCGTGTGCGGCAGTCAGTGACGTGACGATCAATGAACAATTGAAGACATCGGCTTTTTTTTTACCCAAATCATCAAAAAAATTCCTGATAGTCATCACTTACCCTCATCTCCTTGTTCCCGAAAATAGTGTCGAATAACTTCCTGATTGCCGCCCCCATGGCACTGCGCTCCGCTCTCTTCTCCCCTCTCCAATTCGATTCGATTCGAATCCAATTTGCGATTCGATTCGATGCGATGCGATTCCCGTAGAGATGAAACTACCGGTAGGCGGCGCGTTTCGCTGATATTCAGTTTCTAGCGCGCTTCACTTCGCTGTGCGCGGCGCGCTTTGCTGATCTCCGACCGGTTATTTGTCAATTCCGACGATTCGATTTCGATTCGATCGAATTCGATCTCGATATCCGTTTATCGAATCCAATTAGCAATTCAACTCCCGCGTCAAGTCGACTCTATACTATAGAGAGAGAGCGAGAGAAATATAGAGACATATATATAAATCTATAGAATATATTCTCGGATTCTCTCTCCCAGATTTTTCTCTCCGTCGTTCAAAAACGTCCTCTGATTCTGTATCTCTAATCCGCTTTCATAGAAAGATAATCATCATTCCTCTCTCTCTCTCTCTCTCTCTCCTCTCTCTCTCTCTCTTCTTCGGTGAGACTTAACGAATCTGCAAAACCGAGAGTCCAGCCCTAAGCTCAGCTCCACCCCTACAACTCCTTCTCCCCGTCCTCCTTCAACCTCGGCAGACTAGAGGTAATATCAGACAGAGCTGGGTATCGACTCCAAACCGAGCGCCTAACCTCCTCCACTTTTTATCCTTTGTTTTTGTCATTCAACAATTGCGCATCGTACACATACGCTTTCGTGTCTCGTTTCGCCACGAGGCAGAGGCGACACGTCAGCACAAGAAGTCAACCACGTGCACGTGCTTCCCTTTTCTGGCCCAAGCTGACCCAATCACCGCCTTGCTCATTCCAAAATGCCACGCCGCGACAGAGGGGGGGGGGGGGGCCTACTACCGAAGCGCTTCCGCTGACGCTACGGCGCTCGGACCAAGCGCTACCTTTCCGGGGCTACCGGTAGGTCCCACTTACACGAATTAAGCGATATTGACCGTAGATAGCAAAGATCAACGGCCAGAAGCTCTTAATCCGTGCAAGTGGGACCTTGGCCCCGGTAACGGTAGTCGGCCGGTGGCGCTACCAACGTGATATCCCCACGGCGGGTATGGTTGCTCGTTGTCGCTTCGCCTCGTCGAAGGACCAGCTCGTTGCGAGGTGTTGAGACCATAGCCAATAGCCGGAGGACCCCCAGTTAGAGTAGCACAATAGCTATCTCAGTGAATGAGTCTACTGCCGACATTCGCGAGAGTCTCTAGGCTGTTGATAAGAGGAAGAATGGAGGAGGTGGAAATGGTGAGAGGGGCAAGGACCCCCCCCCCCCAACAATCCAGGGGGTCAGCAGGAGGATAACGAGAGGGTTAAGGAGTTAGTGACACTATGTTATGAAGACGGTATCATCCCCCCGAACATCGATCCAGATTCAGGGGTAATGACGATTGAAGGGAGGGTGGCGAGATTCAAGTAGACGTCACTATTGACCGGACCAAGGTGAATTGGTTGAAGGAGCACACAGTCACTATTATCTTCCGGGATGGTGCTCACTTCCTACCAAAAAAGGTAAAGGATGACATCGTTCAGGTGTATGAAGACTCCTAGGTCCAAAATGGCAGCTTTGTGTCCGAAGATTTTGAAAGAGGGCGGGTCAAGTTCGAAAGTCCTAACGTCGTTTCATACGTGGCGAAGAACAGGGCGATTGCACTCTGGCTCGTAATCAAAGGTCAGGATGAGCTCAGGTTGGGTTCAAACTCGTACAAGATGGAGTTCAAGCCATGGTTAACAAAAGCGCAACTGCTGGAGCAACGAAGAGAAGAAGATGAACGAACCTTTTAGGTTATAGCAGTTCAAATCCAATTGGATGCGATGTTATTCCTCGAAGCACGGATTGCGAAAGCAATTGGCCCAGTGGTCCATAGACATCCGACTGAACCAGATCGTCTGAAGCCATCGTTGGTCAATAATAAATTTTACCTGCCATCAGCACGACCGAACATGAAGAACGTTATATGGGTGGAAAACTTGGAAGGAGACCAACTAAAAGTCAAACTAGCTTCGGCTTCTAGCCCGAAATGCAGCAGTGTTTGTGTGTGTCTCCAAAACTGGAGTACCGACACACATTGCTATTGCAATGAATTGTCTTTGTTTTTACTCTTTTTTTTTTCCCTCTCATATTCTAATAAGAATCTGCAGATGACGCTCAACCAAACATTGTTTATTTTCACATGTTGCCAAAGTTGAGAAGGGAAATACTATTTGTTTAAACCTCTGCAGTTGTTCTGAGATTGTTTGTACACCAACTATGATTGAGGAAGGGGGGCAGATTTAGCAAGGTGATTCTCACGAAACTACTAGCACCATCGCCAGCTTGACAGTGAGAGTGTAACAAGAGGTGGTGGAAACATTACTGCTTGTGTGGTAAGAGAGAGTCGATGAACAACAAACTTGAGTTGTCCTCATTGAGATCGCTATACCACCAAGATGCAATGGTGCATGGTGGGAAACCCGTCAAGGCAGTTCAAACTCTTTACAACTGACATTTCTTTAAAACTGACATTTTTTTTTTTAATTCACGAAAGTGGACTTAGTCAAAATTTCATTGCTCATTAGGTGAGAAAGTGGTTTTCTCACTTTGTCCATCTTATGTACCTCAACGTAAAGCACCGTTAACATACATCTGACGATCAAATCATCGGGAGTTGCCACGATACCCAATGATCCGATCATCCGATATCATGAGGACAAAAAAACACTAAATTTAGTTGTTGCACAATTGTGTTTCTGCTTCAGGGGCTTTTAATAGTATATTGGTTGGTCATCCACGCATAATAGCCTGTAAGGTAATATCATTATGCGGTAGTAGCACTACGGAGGCAGTATCAGTGCGTTACCATCAGTGGTGGGAACATTATTATGTTGTAGGGTAGGAAGCAAACTTGAATTGGTTGGGCTTAGCCTTAAAAAAAACAAAGGAAAAAAAAAAAGTTACGGTCATTCTGTCAGTATTACAATTTTTTTCCCCTTGACAGTGAAGCTCGGCCCCAAAACGCGACATTTATTCTTTGGACACTTTTTTCAACACAGTGGGTCTCCACCCCAAGACGCGCTATTTAGGGTTTAAACCTTAGTTGAACCACTCTTTCCGAAAGATGAACTGAAAACGGCAGGTGGATCTGCATCTTTACTCCTAGACGAAGCTGCAGTGTCCATGTCACACATTGGTGAGTGAGTAATTCGCAGCCCTATGGTTGCGGTATAGTGGGTTTCGACGTGTGTGTCAAGGTGTCGCATTTTTAGCGGTGGGCGACGAGGACGCAAAGTGGGTTCTTAGGGGGTGAAATTGCGGACTACCTACAATTATCTCTGGTAGAACTGGGGCTTTTGGAAAAAGTAAGGACCGGTCATCGGGTGGAAGTGGACCCCAAAAAGAAGTGGGGGGTGTTGGACCGGTCCTCGGGTGGAAGCGGACCAAAAAAATAAGTGAGGGTATGTGAACTGCAAAAGGGCCCTCAGGCCCAGGCGTTGAGGCCCATCTTCTCAAAACAGGGAGGTCGGAAGCAACGAAGCATGCGTTTTGCAAGAGACAACTTTTGCGATTTCTGTGCTCGGAGGAACCTACAGGAAAATATGAAATTTTGAGAATCCATAGACGAGCTCGTGTTTTTTTCAGATAAAATATTAGAACATTTTCAAAAAATCATTTAGATTGCAAAATAATCGTTCTGCCATTTCGACACATTTTCTATTTTTGCCACTCAGCCATGTGTAGGCCAACTGAAAAAGTACTAAAAATTCAGTGAGTTTTTGCACTAAAAAGAATGTGTGAAAAAACATGAAAACTGGAATACTCGTTTATTTTCTTGCAATCTTTTTAGGAAAAACGCTCAATAAATTTTAAAAAATCATTCCAAATGTAAAATAGATCGTCGCCGCAATTTGACCCATGTTTCAATTTTGCC